TAATACAATTATTGTACCACTTCTTTTCAAGCTCATTTTTTTTCTTTTAGTTCTTTTAAAAAATACCAAATGTATCGTTGGTCTTAACAGCCTGATGGGTACATGTTATACCAAATACATGAAAAACGTTGCGTCTCAAATCCGTCAAGTCGACCCGCTTTTTAAAGGAAGTAAAATTCACGAAGTTAAAGTGGAGCAACAAAGAGACGGAACTTCCTGTGGAGCATATGCAATGTGTTTTGCAAAAAGGCTGTTGGAAATAAAAGTTGATAATGTTGATGATGTTTACAATGCTTTAAAAGATACCTCTCCAATATCTTTCAGAGCAACAGAATTGATAAAACCTTACAAATAACCAAAAAATATTAATTGTTTTTTTAGTATTTATTGTTTTAGCATTAGATTATCTATAATCTTATTATAAATAAATACGACAATATTTGAATTGTTTATTAATGTGATACATTGTCAATGTTGTATTAACACATTTTAATGTATAGTTTAAAAAATCTATTGTGTACAATGAATGAAATATAAAAATGAATAATGAGTATAAAATGATATAAATTTTTGTTTAAAAAATCGGGGAAATTACCCTGTCCAAATAACACAAATTGCATCACCAGCTTTAATGTGATTGGTTAAATTTTAATTAATGGACGAGATGCTTAATTGCATCATGACGTGGCAGCGACTTGTATTCATTGGGAAATCGCCTGTCTATAAGTTATTTTGTTACCACAAATTCGGGAATATCACCCCAATATTTTTAATACAAGGCTGGATATTTTACTAAATAATAAAAAACACAAATATAACAAAAAATACAATTAAAAAACATTAAAATTGTGTGTAAATTTAAACTTTATTTTTAATTTACAAAATTGTACATTAAAACAATTCCAATTAAAAAGCTAATTTTGGCTTATCGATAATTAATGGAAAAGGTATATGTAAAAAATACAAAAAATTTTACCAAAGAATATTTGATTTTTAAACTATTTTAAACCATATAAAATGATAAGTTTAATAAGTTACAAAATATAAATATTTATATAAACAAATACAACTCAAAATAATATACAATGATCAAAAAGTTAGATCCATTTCATATACAAATTGTTGCTCAACACTTTTTCTTTGCAGATGATTTTATAAATATGATTCTTGTATGCAAGAAATTTTCGTGTATTTTAGACAGATTTAGATACAACCCCATACCAATAACTTCAACTAAATTATTTCCAAATATAGAAACACAGTATTTATATAACGAGAAAGATGTCAAATTGCCAGAAATAAAACGCGTTGTTGTGTTGTACAAAGTTGATTATTCGTATGCAAATAGTCATTTAAAAGACCCTAATATCACATTTAAAAACCTTCACGTTACTGTAAAGTACACTGATAACATTACAGAAGAAGACGAATTGATTCAACTAATGGAAAACACAAACATTAGAAGTTATGGCTCTCGTGTTTTTAACTCTTTTTATTTTGACACTTTTAAAGTTCCAATTAATATCACAAACCTTGAAAAATGCGCTTTTAGTGATTATGATGAACTTGAAAGTGTTACTTTATCTGAAGGTCTTAAAATAATACAAACAAACTGTTTCAGTGGTTGTCTATCGTTAACATCGATACATATTCCATCTTCAATAACAAAAATAATGGAAAACGCCTTTGAAAAATGTGGATTTGAAACATTTGATATGCCTTCATCAATTTATTCGATAGGATACGAGGCTTTTAGATATTGTGAGAAATTGAGAGACGTTCACATCTCACCAAATGTAAAGATTATATCAAGTGCAACATTTATTTTTTGCAAAAATTTGACAAATGTAAAACTTCCTGAAAATTTACAACACATTCAAGCATGTGCATTTAAAAATTGTAGACAACTTGAAGTGATCAAAATCCCAGCAAGTGTGTGTCTTGTTGACAGAGAAGCATTTAGTGACTGTATAAAAATGAAAGAACTTGTTTTTAGTGATAATTGTGTTATTAAAGAACAAGCGTTTGTGAATTGTACATCACTCACAAAACTTGTGGTACCAAATATTGAAGGAAAAGTTATTCACAAAATTTCCAAAGAAGAAATTCCAATTTTTATTAAATTTTATGATAAGTTTGATTGTGATACCTACAATGATGAATATGGAAAAGTTATTTTTGACAATAAAAGCCAAGAAGTTTGTTTATTACTATTTAATTTTACAATTTAATTTGACTGATAAATAAAAATGTACACTGATAAATACATATATAAATTAATACAAATTAATATCATTTAAAAACAACTTTATAAAGATTAATTGTAAATAAAAATTTAATTAAATTTTATTGATAATGCAAAGTATCTGATTAAAAATGATTTAAATTAATTTTCAAGATATATTATGATATTTTAAACAAATTAATAACTTCATACAACCATATCAATTTACTTTAAGTTTATTATTCTGCCTCCAATTATTGATACAATCGATAGTTTTACAATTGAAAACAAAAATTTAATTCGCAAAATATACGGACTTGACAAAGTTACAAGGCTATCTGACCACTCTTTCGAAAATGGTGTTAATCTTCAAGACATTTCAATTAGTAATAACACAGAAATAGAAAAAGGGTGTTTTGAAAATTGCACATCACTCACACATTTGCAACTTCCACACAACAACATGAAAATTAAATTTACTCCAACTTCAAAAGAAACAAAAATATTGGACAAATTTGGGTACAAATACGACACTGTTGAATTCATATTTTCAGAAATAACCGATTTAAGCAATTTTGAGGAAATTAAGAAATGTACCTCATTCGTTGAAATTTCTGGACTCTTTTTTCCACAAAAAGAAATAAAATCGATAACAATTCCGTCGAATGTGACTTGTATCGATAATAATTTTTTTAGTCGATGTAATTCTGAAGCAATTAACTTGGGCTGCGTTTCAGTTGTTGGAAACATTATTTTTGGACCAAAAATGACTTCGGTAACACTTCCATCGACACTTAAGGGATTCATGAGGATTGTTAATTTTTCTGAGGATGGTAAATATCTTAAACATAATTTCTTTCAATTTGGATTTTTTTGCCTAAGATCAAAAAGGTATATTTTGAAACACATGATTTTATTTAAAAATGCTATTTATGGATTGTTTGAAAGATGATTCTTTCAGTTGATTTTTACAAAAAAAATAATCTACTTCTATTTTCTGATTTACCACAAGACTAACTTTGGTTTAAATGAAAACATTTGACAGACATTTAAATTATCGAAAAAGTCGATTTTTTAATCAAAATCACAAAACAAATTAATCGAACAATTTTTAATCTTTTTTACAAAAATAATTTATTATAAATCAATTCATGATATTTCAAACAATAAAAATTGATAGCAAATAACGTATTAATAACGTATACTCTATGCGATGACAATTTATGTATTTGCGCAAATTCAAAAAGAGAGGTTTTGGATATCGATAAAACAACGATTGATAAATAAACATATTTTTAAAATAAAATCATTTTTGTTTTAAACGGGTTTATTTATATTTCAAAACATATATACACAAGAATATATGTTTATATTATTTTTTTATTATACAATATTAATTCTCAATAGAAATATGTTCAATTTATCAATCAATTTTATATATTATTTGGCTTTTTTGTTGTGTTTTGACGATTTTTGATATAATCAATTATCAAAACCCACTTTATAAAAATTCTTTGATAATTTTATTTATAGAATTTTAAATCAAAAATGGCAGTGCTATAAATATCTCTGAGGATGGTAAGTTGTGTAACAAACAGACTTTATTAACACAGACTTAAACATCTAAAAAGTGAAATGACGTGTTCCCATATTCAGAAATAGTAACTTACTCAATATACATTTCAGATAGATGTAAAAGTGTAAACTTTCTATTTCTGTCATCCTCAGAAAATAATTGCCATCCTCAGAACTGTAAATTTGTTTAAAACACAAGTTAATATCAAAATGAAACAATCATATTAAAATATACACAATATGATTAACTTTGTTATTGTAATAAATTTGAATAATTGCATAAATTACAAAATTATTAATTAATTTGTTATTTTAAAATTACATTTTTAGAAAATCAGTGTTTTCGACTTTTTCAATTTTCATTTTGATCAAAAACAATTATCAATTTAAATGTAAATTTTAATTATTATGTTATAAAGACGGATTCGAAAATAATTTCAATAAGTATATAATCAAAATATGAACAAGTTTAATTCATGTTTTGTTATTTCCCGTCTCAAGTTCGTGATATATAATTATTGTTTTTGTTTACTGATTATTGTGGCGATTTTTTGATTGTTTTTAATTGTTTGGCATTTATGACAAATTATTACCATTATTTATAAATCGAACTTTGACTCGAAATATTAAGTGTAAATTATAACTTGAGTTATGAGAGTGGGCCTTATGGGGAACTGAACATTATGGATTTGATTTTTGTATCCTCAGAAAAATATTTTTTAATAAGGATAGTTGTAATCCTGAGGATACAC